ACCAGAGTTGACCTCCATTTTTCTATAACAAGCAAAGCAGACCAAGATTTCACTTAGAATAGTTACTTGTAAACAAATGTTCTTGAATAAAAACAACATGAACAAATTCTCACCTTTTGCTCCAATTTTACAAGATTTGAATCTTCACTTTCTATGTTTTGGGTTGGTGATAAAAGTTAATTTTAACGAAAAACGTCAATATTTGTTCAATATTCTTCACTTTTATGATTTTTCTTTCTATAATTAACAATAATATTTATCAAAATAATGACAGAAAACAAACACACTTATGCCTCCAAGCGTGGCCGCATGGTTTGTAGCAGACGACACGAGCGCCACATAGAGCGCACACACGACGAACGACGGGAGGAACGAAAGTAACAAATTATAGCGTGTACATTTAGATACACTGGTTTTTTCCCGGGGTATCAAAGCTATGACTTATATACATCGATGGAAAGGTGGGAATTCCCTCGTTACACTAGTTAAGGTGTTAAAATGTTAGAAATAAAGAGCAGGGAGAAAAAAACCACCAAAAAAGTGCGTTTTTTCCTTGAGCCCGTGTTTTCCAATTTTATTGAAAAATGGACGACTTGGTCAAAAAAAGTAATTGCACAATCGAAAAGTAGACGTTCTTAGCTTTCGAATGATGTATCATAGAGACCAATCCGATCATGTATTAATTTTTAATTGATGGTTGTTCACAAAATTTCCCCGCGCTCCAAAAACAGCAAAAATTTGGGATTCAATAAACAAAGATTAAATGAAAATTCCAAAAAATTAGGGTATACAAATTTCACGGATGACAAAGGACCTTATGAGGACCCATAATCAAGAAAATTTTGAGGAAATTAGTGCAATACAAAAAAAAATAGAAACAAATTCCTGGCGAGGTCAAAATTGCCCGGGAGCAGAAAGTTTGACCCGTGTTCCGACATGGCCAAAAGAGTCAAGCGTGACTCAAGTCACAAGGTATGATAGCAGCAGAATTCCTCTTTCACATGAACTTTGAATCATGAGAAAATATGCATTTTAAACAAAGTTATTGAATAATTTGTCCCCCCGCTGATTTTTAAATACACGAATTGTGCTCTCCGGCATACAACACAGAAGCTCATTATTCAAGGCGCGCTTGGTGCCGTTTTTCTCGAAACCGGGCAAATTTTCGAGAAAAATCATAAGGACCGTTTTTGTAGAAAATTAACTGAACTGAACAATTTTTATCTGAACCAAAAATCTCTAACTGCCATATTTTAGGAGATATTGGCTGAAAACCTATATTTCTGGTCTTTTGGGGCCATTTTCTCGGCCATCGCACGCGTTTTCCACGCAAACTTCGTCCTATGTTTAATGAGGTACCAAAAGCTACTTCCAACCAGAAAATGAAAATAGGGCGTAATTAAGTCCAACTTTATCCCTTCATTTATTGGACTAATTAGTAATGGTCAGTATATTTTTCAGTTAATGAGATTAAACGGATTAAATGAGTTATTTTTGTGTAGACTCGATAAAAAAATAGCATTTTTATTTGGACCATATTTTGAAAAAATCAAACTATATGAAACTAATTTAATTGTGAGTAAAATTCTAAAAGTGGCGGTGGCCCGTATTGGAGAAATTTGACAAAACGTAAAAAAATATTCAAAATAAGTTGTTTGTGATGATATTCTCTATAATTCTTGCTCTATACACAATTTCTCTAAAACCGTTGAGTGTAAAATCTGCTTGATTTTATGCTGTATATTTAGAGTGCAATAAATTACTACTCAATACAAATTTTGGTTAGCTTTTGTTATTTATTATTTTGTTAAAATAGTGAATAGGCGTGTTACGATTTAATAAAAATACCTAGGCTTGTTTTTTAAAGACTTTTGGGTCGTGGCACCCAAAAATTTTCGTCTCCAGGATACTGGCCTGGCACCACCTGTGTGCTAAGGTACAAGCCACCACTGTAACCAGCAGCTTTTTGACGAGTTCATAATCTGCAGGACTTTGATGAGCTGGGAAGATGGCTGTCTTTGACAAGCTGAGAGGCAGACACTATATGTCCCTGGAGGATGCACAATGGGCCTTATAAGGCCTAAGTGCTGTGGAGCAGCATATTTTCTCCACCTATCATTCCCTATATTTCATAATAATTGCTTTGAATGTTTAAATAAAAATTGCTGATAATTAAAATTTTATACAAATTTTTTAACTGGGCGTTTAATTTATTTAAGTGACCAATTACTTAATTTTGTTCTGACGTAACAATATGAAGTCAACAGTGAAAAACAATTTTTTACGGATAAAAATAACCTATTTTACATGCCCCTAACAACCAATAAATGTCAACTGAGAAACATTTTGCTACTTACTATCGATTCAAATGAAAACCGTATGAATTCAGGACAGAATAGACATAATTAGGATTTGAATAGGTTCGTTATAAAAGAAAAGAACAATTTTTTTATAGGGTTTATTAAAAAAAAAAACATATATGTCGCCTTAATTCAATTACAATGTTCCTAAGTACAATTACAATCCTGATCAAATCATCTCATCTGACTGACTAATTATAAAAATAATATCAAATTCTTTTCTAAACTTTTCTTATTATCACATTGAAACTAAAAACGAAGGTGTGTACAAATTTAATTATTTTATACAGGGTGACTCGGAAAACTATTAAACATAAAAGGAACTTTTTACAGCCGATCTTCGAGACACCCTCTATATATAATATAATCAATAACATTAGTTAGTACCTATGGTCTTTGTCTAACATTACTATTCTAAAAAAATATGGATTTAATGCTTAACACTAAATAAATACTATACAAATTGTCATGACATATTTTAATGTAAAATATAGAATAAGACTACCGAAAATGAGATCCGAATTTGGACAAAAATCGACAGAAAAGTTTCTATGTTTGCTTCACAATATACACATAAAGAATAAATAAATAAGCTGTTCACATTTTTTTAAATTGGGTTTGGCTGTCAAAATTTGACACATGTCACTGTGTACAATTTTTTGGGTTATGTGGATTTAATTAGCCAATAAATACCCGTGCGGGTAAAAATTGTTGTCTATATAGTTCACAATTTTCCTTGTTGACAGTAAAATTTCGACAATTGACTATTGGGTGCAGTCTGTATTACAATTCGCAATTCATTACAAAAAGTTCGAAAACTTATTAAGTCACTAAACAGTTTCACCAAGTTATTTATGGAAGCAAGTTCACCAATATACCAAGAAAATTAGGTAAAACATACCATTTAATAACTAAATACATCGTTAATCATTCTGTCATATTCCAGTAGTTAGTAGTATTAGGCATTCCAAACTGAATGGCTACCAGTGGGTTTTGACAGGTTATGATATGGCAAAATTATGGCAACCCTGTAAGCTTGGTGATTTGACAAGGTCAATGAAATAGATAGTTACATAGATTGATCATCCATATTTTTCAAAATAAACATAAGCATATGCCTTGAAGTAAAAATGTAAGCAATTATTTTTTTTTAATTATCTAAAGGCTGAAAATTGGTTTTAAAACACATTCGGTTTAATTCAAATTAATAAATATTTGCCAGGCAATATGGCCGCTCGCAAACGACCAGCTTTGAGCAATCTAGATAACTATATATGTATCATTGACCCTGTTAATGACAACATGATAACAGGGTTGCCATATCTAAACTGTCATTACCCACTGGTAGCCATTTGGACAGGTCGTTGGAATGCCTAATTGTAATACAAAACTTGTCAAATACCAGATATGTCAAATGTCAGAAATGTCAAATGCCATAAACCACAAATATTAAATGCCAAAAATAGGATTTTGAAATCGTGATCAATCATGGTGTGTTCTGGTTCTACGCAGTCATCAAAATAACAAACTTCAATGCTACATTTTTTGAGTGAATGTAAACAAAGACAACCCTAATTAATGTTTAAGAGGAGGCTCTCTGCTTTCATTTTACACGAATTACATCAAAATAGTAGCACTATTTGCAAAACGCAAGATTTACTTACCGAAAAGAAGATGAAAATATTGAAGAAGGAATAATGGATCCAAAAAGCTTGGAAATATTGATCACAAATTTATTTTAGGAACCCAGACGTCAGCTACAATAAACTTTCCATAGAATCCACAGCGGCAATAGGCCAGAAATAAAGCTACAAGAAGTACTTATTAATGTAAAGCATCTAATAAAAAATGTTGCAAGGAATGCTTTTTGTTCAACATTCTAGTTCACTACATTAACATTTTCCCATGATTTACTACAATTTTATATCGCTTTGTTGCATTTGTTTTATATTTTTCTTCCTTCCAAATAATTTTTTTTCTGGTCAGTTTTAGTTCTCTGGGGGACATTACATTTTATCATATCTATCAGGCCCCACTAACTCGATTTATGATAAAATATACGCTAAATGTACCAATCTCCACTATCCTAAAAGTAGAAATCGTTGAGGTGGCAATTTATATGAAACGGCACAGTATTTGGATTCACAAATGTCTGAAGAACAAATAATTGTGTGCATCATTATAGAGAAGATAATAATTCAACACAGATAACATATCAAGGGATAAAAAATATGAACCAATTAGTTAATTATTTAACGAGAATACAAGAAAACAATGCATTTGGTTATGAATAGGGGTGGGCAAAATAATCGATTATCGATTACGATTATTTAGAAAAATCGATAGTCGATTATACGAAAATAATCAACTGACAAATCGAAAAAAAAAAACGATTAATCGAAAATAATGAATTAATAGAAAATATTCGATTATTTATAATAAAACATTTGAATTAGATATTTATTAATAATCGATAATTTAATAACAATCGAATATAATATTAAAAATAAATTAAATAATATAGATATATTGATTAATCTAATAATCGATAATCCGATTATTCGAAAATAATTAATTTAACGATTAATCAGAAATAAACAATTTAACGAATAATCGAAAAAACTAATAATGAAAATTAACCGATTTCTCGATTAAACTAATAATCGAAAACAATCGATTAGTCGAAAATAATTGATTAATCGAAAATAACCGATTATTTATTTTGATAATCGCCCAGCTCCAGTTATGAAGGAAAAGAAAAAAATATAATTAAAAATAATGATATAATAGGATTTATGGACAAGAAGAGGACATAAAAATTTTTAATATTTCTAATAATTATGCAGGATATACAAGAAATAAAAATTGGAATAGAGGAAATTACATGAAGACCAGGAGATATGATAATGACTACAATAAAAATGTAAGAAACAAAATTATCGACAAAATGACGACAGCAAACAAGAAAACTTACTAAATTAGGAAAATAAGTATAAAAGAGTAAATAATCAGGAAAGTCAAAGGACAAATAATTGAAATAGAGAGAATGCTAAACCACGTCATAATAGTTATTAAATGAAACTAACGGAGAAAAAATGTCATTGGATAAACTTCAAATGAAAATTTTGGAATATACACAAATGTAAAATGTATAAGTATAAACATTCCTTTGAATTTAGAAAATAATAACGACAAAAACGAACAAAATTATTTCAATTTAATTTTTTTTAAAGAGGTGATTGAAGATAGTTGTAACATTGGCCAGAACGGAAACTTCATCGAGGTAGGCTAGTGTACCACGTGGCAGTTAAGGTGTTAACAATAACTAGGGTTACCTTTATTTGCACTCACTTTAAAAATGAAACGCCGAAGTTTGTTGTTTCTTTGACCTCTGCCTAAAACCATAGTTGGTCTAATTAGTGTGAAATAAGAATTACCAAAATTTTGATAAATTATGATAAAATAAATTCAGTAGTTGTCAGAAATAATTTCCCTTATTTATATTTGATTCAAAAATGAATAACGTCGAAATTATTTTATGGTAAATACAAGCAGAAACGTTTCTGTTTATTTTTTTTTTAAATAAAACATTTTTCGGTATATTCAGACGCCCCATATTGTCTTCCTTTTGTCCTAATATAATTTATTTTGCATAATTTTGTGCTAGTTTACAAATTTATTTTGTAAGTATCGTAATTTTTTAAATGGGGATAGAATTTTATAAAATCACTTTTTTTGCAAATAAATAAAAAAAATAGAAGGAAAAGAAAAAATCTCAAGAGTCTGTGTCACAGCAAAGTTGACTGTTGAACGACCCTTTCCCTCCTGAAAGCAACTGCTCCCTTGGCTAATACTACAACAGGCATTGCCTTTTATATCAGTAGGAAAAGAGCAAAGATAGAAAATAATTTTCAACACTGATATAATGCAATGCCTGTTGCAGTATTAAACAAGGAAGTAGTTGTTTTCAGGAGGGAAAGGGTCGCTCGACAGTCAACTTTGCTGTGACACGGACTTTGAGATTTTTCTTTCTCTGGCTTCTATTTTATTTTAAATTGGTCTCACATTTGAGAAATTGTAATTTTTCTTCAAACAAATATACTTTCGCATACACGGCAAATTAAAAAAAATATATTTTTTATAGATACCTGTCTCAAAACAATATTTTTTGCTGCATACAATTAAAAATTTTATTACTTTATTACTTGTGTGCGACACATACCTTTTTCGGCATGTGAGATAAAAACACTTACATCAACTTACAACCTTATTGCTAGAAGTTCCATTCAAACCGGTCAAAATAAAGAAGTTATTCATTTCTCAAGTTAGAGAAATGGAGTAAATAATAGTGATTTCTCATGTTTGTAGTAAAAAAAAATATTCATACCACATTCGTTTATTTAATTAATAAATTAAATAATCAATTTTATTAAAAAATATTGAGTACGGTCCATCTAATCACACACATTATATGTGACGCCTATTTGCAAAAACCGACATTTGACGAAATTTTCAATGAAATGGGTCTTCTACATCTGTCTATCCAACTTTCACGTCTAAAAAGCGACTTCTTACACCTTAAAATCATGTCTTAATTAGAGCATTAGTTTCAAAAACCGATATCTGTTTTAACAAGTTCTCTGCAAAAACAGACAATATAAACGCATCACGTGATTTTGTATTTGTCACCATTGTTTACCACCACTGAAGTTTATAATTATTATAGGCAACAACAGGTTGTAAATAAATTTTATTATTTAGAAAAAATGGATTTAAACAGAAAAAAACACCAGATCAAGCCAAAAAAAAGAAAAGTGAACAAATATAAATGGAAACGAGAGCTAAAACAAAAAGGTACTTATTTATCATTCAAAACATTATTATTCTTTTATTATTATTACAGATACACAGCACAGGAATTGCCCCTATATCCAAATTGTGGCATTGCACAAATAAACAGAAATTGTCATTAGTGACAATTAGAGAATTTCACAAGCATTTTATGGTACTAAAAATAAAATAGACCAGGATATGATTTTAAACTATTGCAAGGCTTTTCCGCCAAAAAGAAAAAAATACCAACAAAAACAAACCAAAAAAAATTCAATAAAATATTAAATTAGATCGGAGAAGGGTTCCATGATCCAGATTTGAAAAATTTATTTTTTGAGGATATTGAACCTCAAAAAAGATCGAGTGACGGATGTAGTTAGACGACATTACGAAACGGGAAGTACTCCCAAAAAAAAATAGAGGCGGGAATCGAAGATCTTTAAAAATACAAGAAAAATTTAAAAAGAACAAATTTTATCGAAAGTTTAACATGTATCGAAAGCCATTATGCGAGATTTAAAAATGTTCAGCGTATGTATCTTCCTGCGGAGTTAAATATAACAAAATTGTAAAGTAAAACTTTCGTATTTTCGACGAATACTTAACACAAATTACAACATAGGTTTCGGATCTCCAGAAACAGACGATTGCTCTACTTGTGTACAGTTTCAGGAGAAGTTCAAGATTGGTTTAGATCCTCAAGCCAAACCGGTCATCATCAAGTACAAAAGTTGAAAGCACAGGCGTTTTGAAATTCCTAAAGGAAGATGTAAGTGAAGTTTCCGTTTTCTCGTTTAACTGCCAAAAGAACCACCTAGCCCTTCCAAAGCTTCCTGATCAAGCATGCTACTTGTTTAAAAAATGTTTAAAAATCTCAGGAATGGTGGAAAAACTCACCAGGACAGAGACAGGCCAAAGAGTTCTTAAAAGTACTATCGCCTAAACTCACCGAGCATCTACTAAGTCTTAATGTGAAAAATACTAGAGTACTAGTAGGTCTATTAACAGGACATTGTAGGCTTAACAAACATATGTATAATATCGGTCTGACAGAAGAGACCTTGTGCCGCTTCTGTCAGGAAGATGAGGAAACGGCAGAACACGTATTGTGCTACTGCGAAGGTCTAGCAAGACTGAGATTCCTTACACTTGGAGAAGAAAAACCAAGGGCAACTAGCTATATCGGAGAACTACTTCCCAGTCTATGGAGTCTACTACAAAACACCGAATTAGACAAGGTACTCTAAACAACGATTGAAGGATATCCACAATAGATCTAAAAAGATCGAGGTGGGGAGGCCACATGGCCCATAGTCCTAATTAAATCTAATCTAAGCATGCTACTTTAGTATACAATTAAATCTATATAACTTGACCAGTGTTAATGGCTTTACGCCAACTTCACTAAATAAGCAAAATGTTTTGTCGTATCTGTAGACTGAAGAAGACATGAGGAAAAGGCTCCAACAAAATTTCTTTGGCGATATTCTACAAGCTCTGCTCTCGCCAATTTCTAGAAGATGTGAAAACTGTACGCCTTGTAGCTGACGGATGCGGAGGGTAATTCAATAATGGTAGTGATGTGCATGTACTGGTTAAAGAATTACGCGCACCAAATCATATTGAGCACATAGAGATTCTATTTCCAGTTGTGGGGCATTCATTTATTTGTCCCCATAGGGTTTTTGAGCTAATAGAAAAAAATATTATTAATCAAGACGGTAAAATTTACAAAATGGGAAGTTACTACGAAGTGTTCGATTTCATAAAAGAAAGTGAAGCAGTTTTAAAATCAACAGCCAGTTGGCATTTTCAAATAAGCAAGATGAAGTGAATTATTTTAACATTACAGACAACATGATTAAAATTCGCGAAGAACCACATTACTAGAATGCCATAGGGGATAGCAAGTTTTTGTTAAAGAGAGGTAGACATCCAGCCTGCAGAGCTTAACGTAGCTAAAACCGTTAAACCTGATAAAATAAAAAGTATATCTTTATTACTTTTCAAACATTATGGTGAAGATTGGCAAAATACGGAAAAATTATCTTACTTCAAGAAAGCATTTGAACGACCAACACCAGCTGAGGTGGCCGAAGTCCATGAGGAAGAAGAGAATGAAGACAATTACCTTTGAGTTATTTTTTTTTAATTTTTGATTTATTTTTATTAAGGATTTAACTTTTGTTTTTCTCTTTTTGTAATAAATAAATCGAATTATGTATTTTTTAAATTTATTCCATTCATAAAGATTGCCCTGCATGAGATGCAAAATCAGATTTCTATTTCAAAGTACCATTCAAAAACCGACATAAAACACTTTTAAATTCCGACATTTGAAATTTTTAATTAATTTTATAAGTTAATTACAAGATTTGAAAGAAAGGTGTAAATGTTACCATAAAGTCATCATCTACAAGGCAAATGAAAATTCTTTTAATTTCAGCACGCCATAATTTAATAAAACGTTTTTCTCACTTTTCCAACATTTAAACAACATTCACATGTCGGTTTTTGCAAATAGGTGCCTCGAAATTTTGCCTTTTAACTCAAATTTCTCGAATACGGTTTATTTTAGGGAAATCATGTATAGGACAAAAATTATAGATAATGACATCACAAGCAACTTTTATTTAACGAATTTTCTCCAAGCGTAAATAATAGATATATTCCTTAAAGTAGAAAAATGAGCCCCTGTGAAGTACCCCGCAAATACTCCCACTATGCCCAAAATCTAAATCAACTCATTGGAGAATAGATTAGTTTAAAATTTAATGTTTATCCCTTTTTATCCACTTTTTAAGATATCATGGATACATATACACATACAAACATCGTCGCGAAAATAGTCAAAATGGATTCAGGGGATCCCAAAACGTAAAAATCCTTCGAAAAAAATTATAATTCCTATATTTTACTTCTGTATAGATAGGAAAGTTAAAAACCTGCAGCGTTTAATAAATCGATTTTATTACGAATATTAGGAATATGTATATATTTGCAAATTATGGTAAATTCACAGCATCATAAATTATAAAACGTTCGTATAATTTAATCCATTTTTTACATAATAAAATATTTTATATTTTAAGTTATGGGTATTGTTAATATGTTTAGTTTTTATTTTGAGCTGCAGATTGTTGTATTGTTCTAAGTCGTTTTATATTTTTTGTCTCAATTTTACAGAATCGGTGTAGTTGTTCAATAATATATAAAGAAAATGTTTCAGTTATTTCTAAAAAACTACCCAAAATTTATTAATAAAGAAGACCACATATTAAATATTAATGCCTAAAAAATTCTAAGTAGTTCTTCCTTATAAAGTTAGAAAAATCTACTAAATTAACTAAATAAACGAGATTTAAAGACTTCCAACATTTGATGACACCACTTTACACAAAATCTTAGAGGATTATTAAATCCCTATTCTATGGGCAAGTGAATTCATTTTCTGCTTGGGAAAATATTCCTACAACTTAAGATTCCTGAATACGTAACCTATAGGAAAAAAGCAGAGAATCGACTCTCAAAATAGTTCCTCGTCCAAATTACTTATCCAGTAATTTTAGCGTTTTTACTTAAAAACAAACGTTTCCAAATTGATAAAAAATCATTTAATACTAAAATTAAATGCGTTCCCAGAATGACATTTGGTCTAATTATTATTTAAATAAATTATGTAATGGTAAAATTGTGGGCGGTACATTTAGCTGATTATAAAGGAAGCACGTTTGCTTTTATTTTAGCAGATTTTGATTTGAGAAATTGGATCAATTATAAGATTTTTGCTAGTTTTCTGGAAATCAGCACCTGTTATTGATACTGAACAAAAGTATTTTTAGAAAAAATGTTGCCAAAATTATCAGTCTTGGGTAAACTGTAGCCATTTTACGGTTAAAATAAAATTAGTTGAAATCTAATAATGTAGAATAAAATACATACCCCATACAAATTATGTAAAAAAAATATGTATATCCGATTTTTTAAAATGATTTTATAAATAAAAAATCCCTTTTAATAATACAGTCAATTTTTGCTTAAAATTGCCTCTAGCGGGCAATTTGTAAGGTAGTTTTGAATTCTACCATTCCATAAGTTTTTTGGGGTGCTGAATTGGAATCTGAGGTTTGCTAATAAAATTTCGTGAAGCAATATTAAAAAAAAATTAGTTTTTTGCTTATAGCTCTGAAACTTTCAACTTTTCGTAAATAACCTTCCTATTCAGAATAAAAATACATAAAACTTTCCAAAAATTTAATTAACCATTTTTTTACTCTAAAACTGTCAGTTAACGGTTGCCACTTGGTGAATTTCTCATATTTTTAAGTTGAATACAATGTAGACTGGTATCAAAGAAGACAGTTTAAAAATCACATTGTATTTAAATTCCGTGCAAATACGAGTGTGAAAACGTCGAGCCCCCGGGAGAAGATATATCTAATATATATCAATACTTCCAAACTTCATTAAATAACTTGATTGTGTAATTTTTGATAAAATGACCTGTACCTTTACTTAAATAACTATATATGTGCAGAGAAATGGGAGGAATTTACTAAATGAAAGCCTTTAATAATAATTTTTTTTGTGACAGCCTATTTTCAACTAGCGTTTGAGCCTGAATGGTTTGTCGGAGAAAAACCTAAATTGTGAAATTTGTACGAACTTTTATGTACTTTCATTATGATTAGAAAGATTATTTACGAAAAGTTGATAGTTTCAGAGTTATAAGAAAAAAAAACTTAAAAAAAAAAACGTTAAAAAAAAGTTAAAAAAAAAACGTTAAAAAAAACGTTAAAAAAAAGAGATTTTTCTCCTTTTAATTTTTTTTTTTTTCAATGCTGCTACGCGGATTTTTGTTGACAAAGCTCATATTCGGATTTAGCACCCCAAAAACATGAAAAATGGAAGAAACCAAAACTATCCCACAATTTACCGAGTAAAAACACACTTTGACTCTGTCTAATAAAACAAACACAAAATTATGCAAAAACAATATTAAGAGATTCGCCAATAAAGCAAGGCGGAGGGGCAAATTATATTTTCTTTCGGGGAGATAAACGACACTCATCGCGCATACTATACAGATTGACCGGCGCCGCGCCTTAAATCTAACAACAAAAAAATGATTTCAGCTTATAAACTATATACAAGTCGTGTACAAAAAACGTTTCAAATTTCTTTGTATTTTATAATTCTTTCGATTTTTTTGTCGTCTTCTTTTTCAAAAGCTAATCATCGGAACTCCAGGTACTGGTTTGGTCACTCTTAAACTAAGTTTCATCTTTTCGAGCCTCGCCGTCGACCCGTCGATTTATGAACTTGAGGTTTTTTGGTTAGAACCGATGGATTGTTTATCCACGGCACCTGGAACTCACTAGAAAAAAATGTACAATTTTATACTCAGGCGGGAGTCGAACCTGCGCTATCTAATAAAGCCCTGTTAGATGATTGGCCTCTCTCTAACCATTTGACGACAAGCGGTCTGAGATCGAGACATTATGTGAAGAATACATACCTGGGATCGAATTTGTTTATGGGCGAACCAAAAGCGGCCACTGGTAACTCGTCGGTGACCTCCAGGAATTTGATGTCTTCTAGTTTCGGCCATAGCGACGTCACTGGTTCGTGCCCGTCGCTTTTCGCTGCCAGCCCCACCTTTTCCTGCCGTAGCTTTAGTTTCTCTATCACCCTCTGTTCTCTTATTCTTTGAACGTCCCACCTAAAAGCAATTTATCATTTCTATCTGTATTCTTATTTCTATTCGTATCTGTATTCGTATATGTATTCGTATCTGTATTCGTATCTGTATTCGTATCTGTATTCGTATCTGTATTCGTATCTGTATTCGTATCTGTATTCGTATCTGTATTCGTATCTGTATTCGTATCTGTATTCGTATCTGTATTCGTATCTGTATTCGTATCTGTATTCGTATCTGTATTCGTATCTGTATTCGTATCTGTATTCGTATCTGTATTCGTATCTGTATTCGTATCTGTATTCGTATCTGTATTCGTATCTGTATTCGTATCTGTATTCGTATCTGTATTCGTATCTGTATTCGTATCTGTATTCGTATCTGTATTCGTATCTGTATTCGTATCTGTATTCGTATCTGTATTCGTATCTGTGTTCGTATCTGTAATCGTATCTGTATATCTATTCTTCTTTTTACTCGTATTTTTATGCGTAACTATAATCGTATCTATACATGTATTTGTATCTGTATTTGTATATATTGATATAATAAAATTAATGACGAAATTTGTATGTCAAATTTTTATTGGAAAAATGGCAGTTATTATTGAATCCACATTTGAATAAAAAAAATGTTTTTCCTACGACCACTTAGGAAAGTGACACATATCACACTATAAAGTCCTATGGAAAGTACCCTATATCACACGCGTATGAATAAGAATTTACTTTCCACCCGAGTGAGAATATGTTACTTTCCGCAGTAGTTGTTACAAAATGTCAAACACCTAATTTCTATTTTGATCTATGTAATGTCCATATTAATACTAAAATCGATATGATTATTAATTTATTGAAATTGTTGTAAATTAGATCCTAGATATTTATCTTTAACAATTATTATTAAAATAATTTTAAAATAATGTTTGCTCTTTATTCTGGTTAAATACATAACCGATTAGATCATTCAATTGACACAAGGGCTATTAGCTCAGGTGGTTAGGACATCGAACTTATCAACTTTGCCATTTTTCGACCGCGTTCAGTCTATGGTTCAAATCCTGGCGGAGCAGAATTTTTTGTTTGTTTTTTTTTATTTTTTTTTTTAGTTTTTTTTTGTTTAGAAAATATGAAAATTGAATAAATACGATTATTGTTGATTATTTTTTTTAAATACATTTTACTTATTATAGTAATAATAACCTTGGTTTTACATTTTTTTTTGATGACATTATTTTGTGGTCGTAGGAAAAATATTGTACATCACTTGTGTGAAAAGTGATTTTCCACACTCGTGTGATAGTCGCACTCGGCTTGCGCCTCGTGCGACAATATTTCCCACTCGTGTGAAAAATGTCACTTTTCACACTCGTAATGTAATATACTATTTCGTAAGTAAAAGTCTTCCAAACAAAAAAATCCCGGAGGTCTCATGAAATTTGCCGCCCTACCCCCAACAAATATTTTTACACATTTGCACAATAAAACAAAACTGATTAAAAATTATATGTTTATTCTTTGGAAAATATCAAAATAATTACAAAAAAAATACCTAAATTAACCTAAATAAAAAACAATAATGCGGTTTATAATGAATTCGCATTTGTAACAAAATTAGTTATTTATGCAACAAGTGTGTAAAGTTACTCTTTTTTGACGAATGTGACTGTTGTCGCACGAGCCGTAGGCGAGTCAAAAAAGGGACTTTACACACGAGTTGCACACAATATTTTTTCTACAACCGTACACATTAATTAGAAATATAAAAGTTACTTTTTTCACTAGTGCGTAAAGTACATTGTTATGTACAATTTTTCTCAAATTTTACTTTTTTTCACTAGTACGTAAAGTTTTACATTACATACTCGTGAAAAAAGTACAACTTTACGCACGGTAGTAGAAAAAAAGGTTTTTCATAAGTGAACAAGCCTTCCAAACACAAAAACAAGACAAACATTTCGCATGGAGCCATCGCGGGTTGCTTCGCAAAAAAAATACATAAAATATGAAAAACTAAAAAAACTTAAGTAATTTACCTAACCTGTGCGACCTGGGACCATCGCGGGTTGCTTCGCAAACAAAATTATACAAAAAATAAAAACGAAAACAATTAACTTACCTAACCTGTGCGGCCTGAAGCAAATACAGGTAGCTTCGCAAAAAAATATACATACAATGGGAAAAATTAAAAACTTAGCTAATTTACCTATCCTGTGCAGCCTGGAGCCATCGCTGGTTTCTTCCCAAATTTTTTTTTTACAAAAATGATGTATAAACTGAGAAAAATTAAAAAAACAACCAAATTACCTAACCTGTGCGGCCTGAAGCCATCACGAGTGATTCGAAAAACAAAAATATACATAAAATGAGAAAAACTAAAAAAAAAAAACATAATCTACCTAACATGTACAGGGTTATCAAAATAATTAGAAAACATTATCTAACCTAACCTACATAAAAAACTTATAACACCTATATGGACTGCCGCCTTCACCATACTTCAATATCATTGGAATGCTACAGGATCATGAAATCCAGAGCCAGAATAATAAAAAAATAACCACCACATTTATCGACTAATTACGCCATGTATCATCTAAATTTATAAAATCTATTATCAAAAGAAAACCATCAGAAACTGAAAAATTAAAAAAAATATATTTCAAACATACTGTCACTTTACAGTATATCATGTCACTATAATAAAATTAACAATCGCAGTAAACTAGTACAAAAACGTGACATCACCTACAATGGCAAATAGGAAAGAAAACAAGTGAAAAAGTGAACATTTTAGAAGTGATTAAATTTATTAAAATAAGTGAGCGCCGAGATCTTTTTTTATTTTTAAGCCTCTAAATACATATACTTTCGCATTAATTAAAATTTTTAGTCATGAGTGGATTCACTATAAACTGCATTTTTACCTCAATGTATTCGAATCAGTATTCTTAACAGTATTCGTATCTATATCCGTATCTGTATTAATATTAAATTACTTCATTAAAAAATATTGTTAGTAGTTCAAAAACAAGATCAGCTAATGGACAAAGTCCCTGGTCAAAAAATCCAACCTCACACACAATAATGTTAGTACAATGGGCGAGATTAAGCAAAAGCTACTCTTACCTAACCCTAAAAGCTGCTCTATTGTAATGGCTATTTTTGTTTGAGATAAAATATCAATAATATAAAAATATAGAAAAATAATCGTATCTGTATTCGAATCTGTATTTGTATTCGTATTCATATGTGTATCTGTATATTGTATTTGTATCTACAAAGTATAAATAAAATACGGATATCTTACCTTTTCCGTCGCCTTTCGTCATTTTCTAACCTCATGTGTCTTTTATTAAATACTTCATCGTCTAAGTTTTCCGTACCTTCCATGGTGTAACAACTGGCATAGATTTTGTGACGCCATCTAGGTACCTGAAGAAAAATAAATACTTTGTTTAATGTAATCTGTAAGTGTTTTTAAATCAAATTTAAAATTTCCACTATGATAGAGGATACCATATCTTTCAGTTAGTCCAGTTTGGTAAAGATGCGCTCTTAAATGTGTCTAATTTACAATAAAGAATAAAAACTGACAATAACTTACTTCTAATGACGTCGCCAGACATTCTGTAATATCTAATTCTATTGTGGGTATTCCTAGATTCACTTCGTGAGCTTGGGTTATATACGCATCTAGAGATGTTAAAATATTAGCATCTTTGGTAAGTCCTTCAACAAAAACACAAATTAAAAATCACCTGCTAAAATAAGGAATTAAAAAAACAAAAACCACTAAAAATGGAAAGTTTAAATTTTTACGAGTAATAAAAGTAGATTGATGGATAGTGGGAATATTAAAATTTGACTTCATTTATTTTAGTAAAAAAAAAGAAAAATTCTAGATTTATTAACATTTGAACAATTTAGTAAACAACTTCAAACTTACTGTTATTGAATATTCAAAAGTGTTCAATTCTATTTACATTACATAACTTATACTTCGCTGGACAAAAAATGTTGTATTAGTGAAAACGCCATTTAGTAATCGCGCTTGCACTAAAATTTTGCAATATAAAATATATTCACACTATCATATTATCTAATGAAATAAACCCAAAGTAAGTATTAAAAATGAATGTACATTGAAAAATATAATTAAACTAATATAAATCTGCTCCAAAATAACAACAAAAATAATCCAGTGTTTGACTATTTTGAGCTGCGAATTCTTTTACACTAAATCGATTTACATGAAATTTGGACAGTAAGTAAGGAATGGTTCTCAAGGAAGAAAAATTATATAGTGCAGACATGTGCAAAAAACTGGAAACATCGATAGATTGAAGTATTCTAAAAAAAAAAGCTTCCTTGAAGTTTTTTTTTAATCAATATTTTGTGTTATTTGCGATTGAAAATGTTGATTTTATTCATTCAAAAAAATGTTTTACAGTGACATTTTTACGAATAACTCAAAAAACTTGTTTTGTATAAAAAGAGAAAACTCATTAAGGCTTTTTAAAGTGCTTAAAAAGACCTTTTAAATCTTTTGAAGTCGTCAAAAGCAAAACGACAGAGTTACCATAAAAATAAAGTGGATGTCTCGTTTTTTCCGAAAAAAAAAAAAAAAAAAAAAAAAAAAGCAGTGAAGCCAATGGCTTATCTACAAGAATTAAAATTATATGAAATCTATTTAAAATTGACTTTATTTACATGTTCTAGAAGTATGAACAGTTTACAATGCTTAGGGCTTGTTCGCACTGGTGACCAGATCGCAAAGGCCAGGTCATCGCAACCAAGACATATTTGCAACAGTAATCACTTCCAATATCAAGCGACCAATTAGTTTCAAAACGAATATCGAGCAAGTAGGCAGCTTCCTTATGTGTCAGTCATCAGTGCGTTACCTCTCAACTAACACGATGTATCTTGTTGATCGTGGCGTTTTACTGGTCGTCTGTACATCGTGCAGGTTTTCATTGGCCATAATGTCCTCTTGGTCGTGGTCAGTAGTGCGTTATGTATTCGCTCCGTGCGAAGTCATGGAAAGGGAAGCAAAAGCGATACCAGCGCTAGATGCGGATAATTCGTGCATTTTAGGGCGATATCTTGTAATTTTGGCATATCAAATACACGTATACATTTTACTATTTTTCAAAAAAGTAGGTAAAAACAATACAATAAGCAACCGGAGTTGCTGTGTTGAAAATTGTACAAATACTAGCACAAAAAAAAACAGTGAACTTGTATAAAAAATTTCAGTAGCAAAGTGGAAATTAAATCAAAGAAATAAATGGGTAGGTGTACAATAAGAAGAAAAATTACCTTTATTTTTGTAATAATAACAGTAATGCTGGAAATAGTAGACATCAGAAACTTGAAAGGTTTTAAATAAACAATAAATTATCATTTTAGGATGTTCTTTAATATCCCTTTATTCTTAAATGTTCATTCAGCAAGGACTAGATTTCAAGATTTCTGCCTTTGATTATTATATGTGGCTGGAATGCAATTTTGTGACTTACTGATGGGAAACCAGTTTTAATCATTCATTCTGTTTTCTTTCGAACAAAAAGGAAATAACGATCCTTTTTTTAAACATTTTAACTTCACGCTTAAATGGTATTTTTTTATTTTGACAGAATATACTAATTCTTCAATGACAACTTATTAGACTTATGCAACTTCTCATACATTTTCCAGTAAATTCTGTTGCCTGCCTATATTTTATTATTTATTTTTATTGATTATCCATAATTTTCTTTAATTTACGCGATAAAAATATATAATAATGATAAATTAATGTTTTACTTGTTTCACAAATCCATATACTTTTATTAAAACTAACATATATACTTTTTATTTATGAATTCTATTAAAAATTGTATTTGCCAGTATACGCAGAAATAGTCCATTAGTACCAAAACGAATTGGCGCTGCTGTCACGCACGGAGCGAATAGCGTGACAAAAAAGTTTGGCATCAATGTATTTCCTTTGAAACATATAAATGATTAATTATTAAATTATAAGGAATTGTATTCTGCATTTTTTAGAGGACGTCGAATATATATCGACGGTGAGAGTAAAAGCCTTGTATCTCATTTTCTTTTTTAAATAGTTTTATTATTTCATTCAAATGAATACCTCACAAGCCATTAAAGTAATAAATCTGGCACCTCTGTCTCAAAAGTGGCGACTTCAGTGACTTACATGTAAACCACTTATCCATTACATTGTATGTGTATTTCAGTGGCGGCTCGTGGGCACTAGCGGCGGTGGGGCACACACTGGAAAGGAATCCCGGGATTCGTTTTTCCCTTAGGAAAACAAGTTCTCCGCTTAATGAAAATTAAATATATTTCAAAACAAATTAAATATTACAAAATTGAAGATTAACTGCTAGGTACCGCTGCAGTTATATACTATTTATTATAGTTGAAGTCCATTCTTCTGGATTTTTGGCTAGCGAAGTGATCAATGACCAGATTATTAAAATTTGGAATGGACCGAATAAGTTTTTTTTTCGAAGGATAACATGGCATGACATTTTATTTACAGGACTAAACCGTGTTTCAAATAATTATCATAAAACGGATACCGAACCTCATGTACAATCAGTTGGGGCAATAACGATTTCTGAATGTGACTACAGGAAGCTAAATGTAACCACTCAAAATGCATTTAACTATGTATGTGGCTATTTAATCAAAAAATCATTACATATCCACTCTTGCGAAATTTGCGTAAATTTCTCAGAAGAATGCAATTTACTTAACAATTCTAACTTGTTAATGCATTTTAAAGCATACAACTCTGAAGAAAAAGTGTTTGGCAATTTAAAATCTTCCAGCGAAAAATTTCTCTTTTATATTTTCAAATTAGAAAAATATTTATATCTCTATTTGATAGTTTGTCAACTAAGCCTGGAATTTCTAACGCAACCTTTTTGAGATGAGCAAAATAGAATTTAGTCATCCTTGCCAACAATATGCAAACAGAGATTTGAAATCCTCGAAAAAATCAAGACAAACCAAAAGAAAAAATAAAATTTTGTCCCATTTATAAATATTATTGATTTTTTTTTCATCATATTTTTGACTGCTTTATAAAAAAAAAAGTTATTTTTCTTTGTAGTTTTATTTCTTAACTATTCCAATGGTCCAACTAACGTTTTCTCGTAATCAAAATAAATAAATTATCATGGTCCAACAAACGCGCACCTTAAGCCGAAACCGGCATCGCCTTTTTGAGGGGGCCGGTAAAGATGCCGCGCGTACATTCGTATCTGGTCTGCAAAAGTGCAAATCGCATACAGTTGAGAAATGGGTCTAAAATCCGCCAATCACAATTTTGTATCCCGCGCTGCGTTATTGAACAGCATTTGAACAGGCACAAGTAGGATTATGATAAAAGATGTATTTCATTTTCGGTGATTATTATCATTGGGTAAAAGAATTATTTAATATTGGTCTTGCGATTTGCGACTGTGCTTTAATACCAACAACCAACGACCTAATTTGTTGAATAATCAGACGTAATTTTATTGAGAGTAAATATTATATTTCTGTATATTAAACAGGCATTTGTGAAAAATGGATAATATATTTAGTGATATTAATATACGTCTTTTATTACAAATATTATTGTATATGCCAATGACTTCTGTGCAAATGGGGTTAATGTAAACTAAGTAGTAAATAATTTTTAGACACTGTTACCACAAGGATACAACATAAAACTAACCTAACCTAATATAAAATAGTCTCACCTGTTTTATACTTGCTTCTTAAATGCATTTTACTATATGAAAATTCAGAAGCTGTCTTTGTGGCTAAAATTTAAACCAGTGAGAGAAAAGACTACTTATTTTGTTCTTTACAAAATATTTTTGTTTAATTCCTAAATAAAATCTATAAAAAACTATAAGTATCCTCATAAAAATAAAGTATTGAAAATGTAACCGGAGTCCACAACTTAAAAAACAAAGCAGGTAGCGTATATTTTCTGTGACTAAGTTTTCATCAAAGCTCCTCTATTTACATTTAAAACCCGGTCATATATTGCAAAGAAACGTAGCGCGTAGCTATTTCGTAAATGAACCGACATGCGTTTCCTTGTGCGCTGTTGTCAGGCTGTGTAGTTTATCCCTTTCATATTTAAAAATAGTTTTTACCTATAACTCACTAATAGCAAGTTTTATTAATTAGAATAGTTTCGAGATATATTGCGACACATCAAGCGTCCCCACCAATTCATTTTCGTACCTAGTGCAGTGTTTCCAACTCCGACGCATTGTGGGCCGAGATTTTGCAATATTTCCCGAAACATTCTTAATAGTAAATCTCTAAATAAAATGACTTGTAACAAAAAAAAAACGTATAAAATGTGTACAAAGTAGATTATCTAGTTTAACTGCTTTCAGCAGACTTGATATTTTAGCAGCACTTATTTTTACACCATTAGGCAGGGCATTTTTGTACCTATCGTTTTTACATACATATGCATGCTAAATAACAACTTTGCAAATACTAAGATAAACTATGGCAAACACAATTATTATTCCTGCAAATAAATACAAGGATTTTAAAAGCGTTAAAAGTAACACCACCGCAATTTAAAATAACTTTGTTTTATTCAACTATACGTCACGGACGTCACGTATAGTATTTTATCCATCGATAGTTTGCGACGTTGCGATCCAGTAAATTGTTGCATATTGGGTGTTTTTGTT